TAATTTTCTACAGCTATAGCTACATTCTGTTTTTAACCAGCTGTGAGATGGATGCCCAACAGTTCACTTCTTAGCTATAAACTCTTCAGTTTTAAGTCAGCTTAACATTTTGTCTGTACTTCTTTAGAGGAAGAGGAAGCTGACAGCTTCCCACCTATTGTTTAAAAACAGTTTTAACACTGCATATGTTAAGGAAGTCATTTACTCTGTGGTCACAGTAGAGCTATAGTTGAGCTTTACTTATTATGTCTAGCTCTAATTTAAAACCTAAAGCACTGGAGCTAGATGAGGTATATCATTATTAAACAATACATTAAAAGTACAGAGCCTACTTGTGTCAAGGCACTTTTGTCATTAAAATGACTTAGATAAATCCAGAAGTAAACTGAATATTGGTTTTAATCTGAACACATCTTTAGTGATTGATTTTTCTTTACTCCATGCCAGAGTCCCCTAATACTTAGGAAGTGTGGGTTTTAGGTTTATATTTTCCAAGGTATATATTTTCCAAAGGGGTGTTGGAACTAGATAATCTTAAGGTCCTTTCCAACCCTAACTATTCTATGATTTATGTGTTACTTCTTTGTTACAAGCATTTTCCCTCTTTGAGGCAATTCCCTAATTTAGGTGAATTCTGTTTTCACCATTCTCTGTATTTTGTTCACTTACTTTTAGATAACAATTAGGTTTATCTTGTCCAAATGTTTTTTTACTTTCAGGTTTTACCAGAACAGTAAGAAAACAGCATTCATGCCCCATCATGCTTTCTAGAAACAACACATGTATGAAAAAAAATTCCCAGGATTACTTCAGAGGATGATGTAAACAAAATTAAGTAGGAAGAAACCCCTTTTCTTGATTTTGGCCTTTTTCCCCAGGAAAACAACACAAAATAAACAGCTGATAAATGAAGAAGACAATAGAGATCGTAATTAGTTAATTCTCTTTTTCTTCCTTTGTTTCTAAAACACCAATCCATAGTCTTACCTTGTACAAGATGTACCAGAGCAAATAATATATCAATTGTGCATCTAGCAGTAATTTCTCAGTATTGCTGGCAAGCAAAATGCCTACTGCCTTTTTTGTTTGGTTTGTTGGTTTGTTTTTTTTTTCCACAGAATAATCCTAATAGTACCATAGAGAACCTGCTGGATTAGTACCTCCTATTTTTCACAACAATTTATATGCCAGGACACAACTACTCTATGTAAATATATGAGAGTTATGTCTTATATTATAATACTGAGTTTTCTTCCCAACCTGAAAGAGCTAGAGATGAGTTGCAAAGCTTATGCTGTGGTATCTCCCCAAATTGCTTTAAAAATGTATTTTGATTTTCCTATCTCACAGCACAATTTGCTTCTCAAACATAACTAAACAGTTCAATACAAACTCCTTTTATTTACTACATGGGCTCCCTTCATCATGTTCAGCACTAGAGACCTTTGTCTTTACCTAATTACCTTGCTTTTCTACATCTTCACAGGTTTTCACAGAAAATCAATACCCAGCTCCAGCTACTCTTTAGATACCCCCTAATACATGCTTTGTAATCACCATGGGCTGGACAGAACAGGCTAGAACCGAACTGGTTATTTAATGGTCAGCCTTGCTCTTAAATGGTAACTTTTCTGCAGAGAAAATTGTATCATCAGCAAATAGTGTTTATAATTTCTGTAAGTGATATGGAAGCTTACTAAATAAGTGTTCTACAGTACAGAGAGTCCATTATTAATGCAGCAGTTTTAAATGTATCTCACCATAGCCCATACTCCAACAAGTAGGTTTCTGTGTGGAATTAAATTAGTTCATTTTAATGTAAATATACACATGTTTAAGGCATTAGTGGATGCTAATGAAGAGCTTCCAGGCAGATGGACAAAAATAGGCCTGATTAGAGCTAAAGACCTTGTTAAGAAATCAAGCTGTTTAATGGTAAAATTAAGTTAATTAGGTAAAAAGACATGGAATTTTTACCCATGGTAATTGGCTGTCTAGCATAATAATAATAGTTTCCTTTGACAGAAAGAGATTGTTTTGTTGGTTGGGTTTTCCAGCTGTTCTTATCCTTGGGTGTAGCATATATTGTGTATTGCTGGTATATACTGGAGAAATTACCATCCCCAGGTTTGCACCAAGGTTTTTTTATAGCTCTGGTAACTTTATTGAAGAACATTTTTGGAGAGAATGTTGGGACATAGTTTCAAAGTATGTCCTTTTACGTGACCTAACAGTGGGATTATTTAAACAGGTTCTTTAAAGAGAGTTAAGCTAGTTCTATGATGCAATTATTTAGTAGGCAAGCTAATATTATTTTATTACATAATTTCTTCATAGTATTTAAAGGATTTGCTTAGCTAAATATCTTGAAAAGCAAGTATTGCAACTTTGAAGAATGAGAAAAATTGCCTTTAGCGGGAATGTATTTGGTGTGCTCCCTATGTTGGTTTTTGGTTCACATAATAATTATGTTTAACTGATAAGGATCTTTAATAAGTACCACTGAAATAAACTGTATGCCTAGTTTTTCTGGTAGAAACACCGGGCTCTGATGTCTAATACACTTAAGCATCATTTAGTACAGTTTTAGCAAGATGGTATTGCATGAGGCTTACAGAACCTTCTCTTGTTCTACATTTTTTGTTTGTTCTGAATTATTCTGCCTTTTGTGTCTGTTAATTCCGTAAGTATTGCTTACAATGAGCTTATTTGTGAGCAGCAAAGTTCTGCGCATATAATCTCAATTCTTTGCTTGTCTACTTAGCTCTCTTTCTAAATGAGTGGAGTGTGGAAAAATAGTAACACCAATGAAAAGCAAGCTTATCTCTGGTCTTATCCTGCACATGCACAATTGTATATTTTTAGTTAGACAGATAGCTGAAGATGAGTTTGAGGCTCAGTCCAAGTGTATGTTTTTTCACATGATGAGAACACTCATTAGACCTCAAGGAGGTGACTGTGAGGGTGGCAAGTGGTATATATTTCTGTCTCTTTTACCACATACAAAGTGTATTTCTTCTTATGTGTCTTATGATAAGCAATCTTATGTAATACAAAATTAATAGATTAAAAAAAAAGAAAGAAAAAAGATAATTCTCTACCAGATTAGTCTACTGAGCTAATTTATATGTCTGTACTATCCCTAACTCTGGTATAAGGAACAGGGGACAAATATGACAGTGAGAGATTACCAGACTAACAGTAACATAATACCAAGCCTTCATTGCCCTCACCTTTAACTCTTCACTGAAAATGCTGTGATTCATGAGATGTGACAGTCTATCATAGAACCATGGAATGATTTGGGTTGGAAAGGAAAAGATCATCTAGTTCCAATACTCCTGCCACAGGCAGGGACACCTACTAGACCAGGTTGCTCAAGGCTCTGTCCAGCCTCGCCTTGTACACTGACAAGGCTGGAGTAGTCACAACTTCCTTGGGCAGCCTGTTCCAGCACCTCACCACCCTCACAATAAAGAATTTCTTCCTTATATATAACCTAAATCTCCCCTGTTTAAGCTTGAACCCATTGCCCCTTGTCCTATGACTACACTGCGACAATCGGCAAGACTTTTATCATTTCATGTCTACCACATTAACTTAGGAAAGAAAACTGCACTTAGACTGCCACACTTCACAGCCATGTATTTTAAGAGGAACTGAAATTGGGCAAAAATAGCATGGCACATAGTCTAGGTGTAATTTAAATTTGTCAGCCATGTCAGTGTATATTATTGCCCATTTCTGGGTCAGAACCCTTCGGCATTATGTTATTGAATCTTCAGTGATGTGGCTATGAATACTAAGCTGCAAAAAAAAAAAACAACCACCCTCTCTCCTGCATGGAGGAGCATGAATGAGCACAGCATGTGACAGGTGCTTGTTCCAGTGCTTAATGCATGATTATAAGAAGGTGACGCAATACTGCGGTGATAAGGGTGGTACAAGAACTACAAGTTTCTCGTGTAGAAGAATATAGATTCAATTTGCAGGAATGATTACTATCCAGTTCTTTAAAATCTTATTTTCCTGTCAATCTTACAATTTCAGAATAGAAATTGTAGGGAAGCCTGTGGATGAAATTGCTCAAGGAGAAAAAGCAGAAGAGTTAAAGTCTAAAGGAAAGGGCTCTATAATCTGCTGGAGAGAGGTGAGACTATCCAAAAGGCGTTTGAAGGAGAAGGGAAGCTAAGAGAGGGTAGTGAGGTAGCAATGTAGTTAGCTGCTGAAGATGTCTTAACACCACAAGAAAGGTCAGGGTTTCCCAATTTGGCCAGAAGGTCATTTCAGACTTCACTGAGGGAGGTTTCATTGCAACCTAAGGAAGGAATAGAACTGGTATGGACCTTCATGGCCACTAGCTCTGCTGGTATTTGTGGTTCTGTGGTCTAAATTATGCTTATTCCTTGGGGGCATTTGTCTCTTTAAGTCCTCCAAGGACTTCTGAGATTCCCACCCTCCTTTAAGAAAATAGGTTAGCAACTTGAGGGCAGTGGAAGTATACATGGGTGGGAGACTGCTTATGTGCAGGTAATAGTTCTGTTCTGAGAGCTTTAATGTGAAGTTCTTGCTTTACATTGCCTTTTCTATATATAGCAGTTACAGTTGTACTAATGGGAAGTTATTACTTGGAAGTTGCTTCAAATTTTATTTGAACGGTGGTTTCTCTTTAAAAAGTTAGCACTGCTGTGGAGAGAGTTCTGTTTCTGCCTGTTACCCTTTCCTGTCTCCTGGTGCTGCCTTTTGTGTACAGCAAACATTCATGTGATTGTTGTTAAGTGGATTGCACAAGTGATCTGGCTTAAAGTTTACATTATTTAAAAACAGTTGCTTTTAATTTAGTTCAGTTTCTCATTCTTGCCTGGTTTGTGGTCTCAGAAATGCATATGTTGGTACAAGAGAGAAGACAGGTAAGTGGGCAGTGTAAGCCCCCCTCACCCTTCAGCTAACCCTTTCAGGATCCTAACTCCCTGCTCTGATCTGGCCCAGCTGCGTCATCTTGGCTTCAGCTGCTGAGGAAATTGCTAAACTTTGAGGAACAGCTGTGAGAAGGCTGGTGAAACAGAGCCAGAGAGGTGAAGCAGCAAAATTACAGGCTGACGTGGGCTTTTTGGTGATTCAAGGATTAAAAGGAGCAAAGGGAAATGTATGAAATGTTAGCTGAATAGAATAGGGATTTCATGAAAGGTAGTCATGTAGCAATAATAAGGTTCTATTGCTCCAGCCAGTGAAAGCTAACATTTATTTCACAGGCTTTTTTTCCTGTTTGGCCAGCAAAGATTCTTTGGGTGTTTTATGAGCCTGGTGAGTGTACTATTCTTAATGAAGTAACTTGTTAAATCCAAGTTATGTTTTATGGGTGTTAACTTTTAAATTACTGCTTTATATTTTTAACCTGCATATATATCTTGCTTGTGCCGTCTGTGTTCTGGCCTTATGGTATCTAAAAAAGTGACTCAAGCAGTGCTGGGGGTATTTTTTAGTAATACTATTGGATTGTACTGTGTAATTATAGCAAGGCATGTGTTTTGACTCACTTGTATGGGAAGTGAGGTAGAGTACTTCCGGTTTCATGACAACAGAGGAGCTTTTCTGGATTTAATTCCTTTTAGACAAATCAGTTTATATAGTGATAAATGGTTTGTTTGTTTCTGGTGCTTTTTGCATTTTAACATAATATTTGAAATACGTTTATGTTCTTAGGTCATCCTGTGAGTTTTAAATGGCATTGATTTTGCTATTTTCTTTACCCCTGTTCAATGCACCTAATATTGCTGTAAAACAATTTTCTTGAAAACTTTTAAGTTATCTATAGAAAACTAGAGTCTTGTGGCTCAAATTTTCCTTTTCATCCTTTGTGCTTTATTAATTTAATCTTGATATAATTTTACTAGTAATGGTTAGCCAGTTAAATCGACTCTTGAAATTACTTCTCTGAAGTAAATCTGTGCTTTAATGAAGCTATTTCTTTTTCTCTGTCTCTAATAAACAAATACCTGTCCCAGGACAGTATCTATAGTTAAGAATCTATTCAAAGCTTATTCTACTAAGCTAAAACACCAAGTTAGTTTATAAGTATAGGAAAAAATAATCAGTTAACATAGTAGGGTCGAATTACATTCTGAGACAGCCTGACTGCAACATCATAGCAAAGGTGTGGTTGTCTGACAGTACTGTGAAACAGACTTTTTCAGAGGAAAGATGAAAAAACACTGATTGTTTTCTAATCTCTCTTAAAGGTGCAGTTTAATGGTGATGTTTTCTTGTAAGGTCTTGCATGACATCTCAGCAGCCATGAGTAGGTCTGGCTGTGTGTATTGAAAGTGTCCTGAAGTTGTTTGTTCTTTAGGAATAGTTCTCTTGATATTCTGCATAGGTGGGTATTGGAACATCATGGTTCCTCTGGATGGGATAAAGCATAATGTTACTTGGGTGTTTTTTTCTAACATCAAAAAACTTTACCTTATTTCTGTTTAGAAGCTGGTTAAACAAGCAGTGCCAGTGAAGCATGCTCAAGCTATGGCACAGTAAGTATCTAGGTGCACAGCAGTATCCACTGTTACCTTTGTCTTACTGAAAGCTATATTACCATATTACCAATAGCGATGGCATAATGTTGCTTAGACTCTGAACTGATTAATCTGAGTTCTCATGGCTCGCCTTAGTATTGAGGCACACCTAAACAAGCAAAATAGCAGTGGAGTACCTGTAGCTGTAGGAGCTTTTACAATGTTTCCTTTGAAGTACCTCGTGTAGCACATTTTTTTTTTCTTTAAAAAGTTTTGTTCTATGTATTTGCTTTACGACAGAAAAATAATTTGGCAAAAACAGGCTTCAGAGCACAGTACCCCTGCTCGGGGCAGTTTTTGTCAGACCAGTAATTTCACTGAGTCACTGAATCACTTAATGTAATTGCATAGTCACTTGTTTATGGTTGACCAAGATAGAGTCAGGTTAAAAATATTTTAACCATATGAATGTTTAGATAAGGGAGATGACATAATTGTGAATGACTCCCAGTTTTTAACTGAGGCATTATTTTAAGTTTCAAAATGGGCCCAGTGGTTAATTGGGAGCTTTGAGCTTTACATCAATTATGTCACACTTCCTGAAATCCTCAACAGTACTTTCCCCAGACTTCAATAATATTTATTGTTATAGGGGAGCTGATCAACTAAACATTCCTCTGCTGCTAAATACAGCCAGCAAGCTGCTTATGAGTCAGGACTCTGGCAGATAATTCTGCTGTATATCAGTGAAAACTTGACTGGCTAGCTGTCATATTCCTTATGTGAGCAAGTACCAGCTGCTTGGATCTTATATTTCACATTCTAGTAAGCAGTGTTTCCAGGGCTCACTGTAGTATGCTTATGAAAGACTAGAAAAACTCCACAACTTAATCATGCATTTGTTCTGGAGCATAATCCACAGTGAGCTTAGGAATTTACATTGTTATGTCCGTGATTGATTAATAACAAGGCTTTCAAACATTCATTAGTCTAATTTCCATACAGAGCAGCAGTTAAGAGCAAGTTAGTAGGTAAACAGAGTGATAGCTGAAACAAGAACTATAGCATTCTTATAGCAATTTTTAAAATCTGTTGCTGCAGATTTTTGGGTGGGAATGACGAACTGTAAACTCCTGTTTGTAAAATATAGGGTATATAATATGAATATTAATTAACCACTTCATAGAGACTGTGAAATTGTTTTCCCTCTGTAACGGTAGATTGGGAAAATCTTTCCTGTCAGTTATACGTATATCTCCTGCCTCATCTCTTTGAATTTTTCAGTATAATGTATAAAATAGAGAAGGAACTGCTTACCAGCAGCTTGTTAGAATTCCTGAAATTTAATAGCAGCTTTGAAAGGCAAGTGATGTCCAGTGTTAGACTTGTTTCTGTATAAATACTTTTATATTGAAAATAAGATAGCATAATAAGAAGCTTGTTATCATCTCGGATTAGTGGATCAAGAGTACTCATGATTAAGCACCTGCGCATTTGACTGAGATGGAGGAAACAATCTTTGCTTGTTCCAACCAATTACTTGAACCTTGGGCTTTTACAATGTGACTGCCCTGACAGATGGGTTATATGAAGCTAATAATAATCTTTTGACAGGAACAACAAGAAAATCAGACTTGATTGGCATGTTAAATAAAAACCCAGCAACAACAAAATGCTCATTCGAAGCACTATCTGGGAGACTGATATGCCCAGCACAGTGGAGCGGAGTGCCAGAATTGGCCTACCAGCACCAAGATGAATGCTCTTGTTGCAGGATGGCAGGTACCGCATGCTTCATTTTGAAGATGGGAAAGCTTTTTTTGAGATTGATGCATCATCTCCACATATACCCTGCTAGTCCAGATGCTGCTTATACTGCTTGTACTGCTGTACTTTGACTACTGCTCTTCTCAGTTCAGGCTTCTGTTGACAGTCTGTCAGCACACTGATTAAACGCTGGCATGAAGAGGTTAGTACTTAGCAGAGCATTTCCTGTGCTTTGCCCTTCTGCAGCCTAGAAACAGTTGGCTATGTCTACACTTCTGCTTTCTTGCTTTAGAGTAGGCAGAGAATGTATGTAATCTGGTCATAGATAATGCATGATTTCCTCTGTGTAGCTTCACATCTGTAATTCAGATGCAGAATCCAATGCCTTTGCTGTCAGTTTCTGTATGTTGTATGTAATAAATAAGTAGGAAACTGTGGAATAACTGTTTGAACCAGTAGAATACAGTAACTTAACATTAGCTCTTGGATTTATATATTCTTATTTAGAACTGAAGCTAATGAGGTGTTAAAGTGATGCATAGCAACCAAGATTATGCTAATCTGGTTTTAGTGACATGAACAGGAGAAGTTTAGAGCTTCTTTTTTAAAAGCAAGTATTTTGTTCAGTCAGTTGAACAAAGGGGTAAAATAGTGTGATTCTCTAAAATAAAATATATTAAGAGCATTAACAGCTGCCTAAAACGCATTCCTATTTGGCAGTTTCCTCTTCTGTTTTGTGTAAAAAGATGGTTTAAAAAAATGTGCAAAAGTTAGCCTAAAATGAAATATAACATGTACACTTATTGTTAACATGAAACTTACTTGATTGGGGTTTTTGTTTGTAGGAAAAAAGTGCTCCAGGCACAGCATACTGAGCATCTTTGGAATTTAATGTTTTTTCCTGTTAAAATGTCTGCATAAGCAACTATATTGTGCTTGCGTGATGTCTTCTTTGGAAGCTCAGGTATGATTCCAATGTAACGGCAGTTTACTTAACAGAGAGAATTGGGTGAAATTAATTAAAAAGAATAATTCTGCTTCTTCCTCCCCCTCAATCTAAACGTTTAAGTTCTTTGCATCGGAGGGGGGAGTTTCTGGGTTGATATTTGCATTTCTGCAATTTAAAAGAACTTAAAATGTGTCAAAACTCAAGGCATGATTGTTGTCCTTTGTGCAGAAATCTAACTAGTGACTTTTTATTGCACATAAAGCTACTAGGAGCAGTAAAACCATGGCTTTCATTAATTCTGTTACCAATCTTTTACGGATGTCTGTGAGTGGTATTCAGATGTATAGGGTATTATTTCTGTTGTCTGTACCTAAAACTTGATTAAACTTCATCCTCAGCAACTCACAGCACTAAAGCTGTGCTTTGTAAAAATTAGAGCAACCTGAAACACTGGTAATAACAGGTTAGGTTTATTAATGCTGTTGATAAATGGCCAGTTCATTTTGGAGTCTTGATGAACTAAAGGAGAAGGAGCACTGTTGCTACATCTTCAGATTATCTTGGAACTTTACAAAGGTAGAGACTTTTAAACAATTCCATGCTTCTTGATCTTGACTACTGCACCACTGACTGTTCTAGGGAATGTTCTAGCGCTTATTTTTCCTGAGTAGTACATAGCCAGTACCACAAATAAGCTAATTTAGGCTAAGTGACAATAAGAGATATTTTTACCAGCGTAATGGTATCTTGTTTGAGAGGTGGTTTTATGTCAGACTTTACACTTGTCCAAGATGTACTGACCTGTTCCTTTCAAGTGCTATTTAAATTTCTCTAGTGTGAAATAAAAGCTGCTTTTGCTTCAGAAATAGGTGTGTGCTGACTCATTGGGGGCAGCACTGTTACATCCTTTAGATCTGCTTGTTCTACCCTGCACCTAGTTCACAGCAGCTGCATAGCTTTCTGAAGAGTGATGAAAGATGGGGGAAGGAATAACAGGATAATGGGAAAATTTAATCATTTAAGAGTTAGGGATCCTGGGAATATGTGGGCTTTCCTCCCACTCCTTTGCTTTACAGAAA